GCTATATCTTTTTATAGCCAGGCACCTCAATAATCTTAATTCATTTCATGCTCTACTTTTTATTGAAAGTGTTTCTTAAGTTGTAATGAATTTTTCTGATCTACAATTTGTAAACATTACCAAGTTTGCTCATTTTCATGAAAAAAAGCAGTTCATATGAGGGAAATTTGAGTTGAATTTCTCCTGCTATAATTTGTTTTTAAATATGCTTCAAATAAATTCATTTCTTCCAAATGTTTTTTGTACACTGTTCCTTTGTAGTTGACACAAGGTTTTAATCCAAGGACAATATGTAAAACTTTTAAAATGTAATGATTAAATCATGGCCAATCTAAATACTAGAATAATCCCCATTTTAATTTATTTCTTAAATCAACTATTAATCAGAAGCCTATTACTTAACTAATGCTTATAACTACCTAAAAGTACAGTAAATTATCCTTGAAAGAAACATTTTGAAATGCTATGTTCTGTGAACATATGATGTGTGTTATCTATTTTTATTTAACTCTATTGTTCTTTTCTATTGAACTCTATATTACTACCAAACAACTCAGTTTTAACTAGAGTTAGTACTCATTTTTCAATAGAAACGTATAAAGCTGTTTCATATAATTCATTCTTATTTGTCCTATTCACTGAGATATATTTAAATTTCAGAACTCAGTATAAATATACAATTTAACCCCTATTCATAGCAACAGTAGCAATATAATAATAACAAAAATTAGAAATAAAATAAAAATAGATAACATTTTTTTCAGAGTGTCAGATGTTCTGAAGGACATCACATTAGAAGACAGAATGGGAGAGAAACATGGAACAAACTTCAAAATCATGAGAAAGACCTAGTTCATTGCTCAAATAGAGATTGGTAGAACCCTTGAGACTATACCCTTAGTTACCCTTCACATCTGAAAATGAACTCACGGTGGCAGCTCAGTTCTCAGCCAAACAATAGACAGATCTACAAAAAGAACAATGACATTAGTGAGGTACACACTCCTTAGAAAAATATACCATTTGAGACTGAGGGTCAGTCAACATTTAGCCAAAGACAAAATGCAAACTGTTAGAAAGAAGAAAGAATGCAGACATGAAATACAAGGAGGAAGTAGTGTATGTGAGGTTCCACTGTGGGGATTGCAATGAATACAATTAAACAAAATATGCATAAATTACAGAATGGAAAACTGATCTGCTCTGTTATCCTTCACTACTTTACAATAAAAGTTTTTTTAAATGAGTGAAAACAAGAAATTAGAGAAATTATCATTTGTATACATGCTGTAAGAAATTAATAAATGTTGATTGTCAGGCATCAAGAAAATATTCAAGATGAAAGAAAGACCAGAAAGTGAAGAAAGAGATGGATAGTCAAAAAGGAAGATTATGGGGTTAAATCTAAATCAATATTACCTTTGTAAATAATCAGAACATCATCACAATAATAAAAATAATGTCTGGGTCTGGGATCTTAAAGGCTGTCTTAAAATAAGCAGCCATCAAAGTGAAGTATCAACTAGGTCCACATAGAAGAAGCACACCAGTCTGCGTCATGAAAGGACTGTAAATAATAAAATCTCAGTCTGAAGGAGAGAACGGTATCAGTGTTAAAATTCTGAACACCGAGTTTATAGAAAGTTATGGATGATAGTGGAAACCCAAAATCTATTTTCAGTTTCCCTATATGGATTTCACCTCTGGTGAATAATTCCTTCTGAAAATAGTCCAGGGATATATGTAAAATCATAAAATAAAATTAACCTTTGATAAAGCAGAAAACACATGTCCTAATATCGAGTGTAAAAACCAAAATAATAGTAAAGAGAATTTATATAACTAGCAAATACAAGAGAAAATGAAATCATTTAAAAATTATGGTGAAGTAAAATTGCTTGATGTGGTGCTTCTATCCATAGCCTGGAGAGAAAGATGGGACTTTCTATTCCCCTTAAAGAGTTACGGTCTTCGAAACCCACAGAGGCAGTTCCACACTGCCCTCTACGTTCACTGTGAGTCAGCATCGACTCCATGACACTTGAGTTTGGGTCGGTTATCTGTGGAGCCCTCGTAAGGCAGTGGTTATACATTGGGGTGTGAATGGTAAGGTCAGCAGTTCTAAATCACCAGCCACTCCACAGGAGAAAAACAAAGCTTTCTACTTCTTGGAAATCCACAGAAGCATTTCTGCCTTGTCCTGTAGGTTCACTATGAATTGGTTTGACTTGATAGCAGTAAGTTTGGTTTAGGTGGATCCATAATTTTTGTAACTCACACCAAATACTGATAGAATAAGATAGAAAACAAAATAAAATTCACTGCCATCCAGCCAATGTCGACTCATAGAACCCCTATAAGGTATAGACGACTCTCACTCAAGATTGGGTCATTGTTGCCATTCCACTGGGTATAAAAGGGATGGGCCTGCCTCTCAGAAACAAGAGAGAGAATTCTAAGACCATCACAAATGAAGAGCTACCTGTGAAGTATAGGCCAGGTCCCTTTCTGAAGCAGTGGAGGCAGCAGAGGCCACAGCACCAAGACCACAAGAGAACAGAACTGTGACAAGATCATAAGGCAAGAGTGGCAAGTAAACATCCTGACCAAGTGGGTCAGAGGCTAAGGGACCACATGGCCTAGCATCAGAAAGACATGCCCATCTGCATGGCTGAGAAGAGGCTCTCTGAATAAAAGGGCTATATCCTTAACATTTGGTAACCTGTTAGCTTTCCAAATAACCCATGTATAAAGAGAATTGTCTGAGTTCTGTATAGCCATTGCAAGAACTGTGGAACCCGACAGTTAAATAGATTATTATTGGCAGGATGGTTGGTGTTAGACCAGGTTCAAGAAAATTGGAAGGTGGGATCATATCTGCCCGTCCAGCTTTGGACTGATGTGGAGTTGGGTTCTTCTTCTTTGTGCAGCCAGAGAAGATCAGATATGGCTTCTACCCCATTCCCTCACATTTTAACAAATTCAGAAAAAGTCAAGAAAGTAGACAAACCATACCAGAGAGGAAATGAACTATCTCAAAAATGAACAAACATAAGTCCATCAAACTCACGGCTGGCAAGGTGATTGGGATCTATAATGATCCGATGGACAGAGTAACCTGTAGAACTTACTCATTAGAGAGCAGACATAATGAAACAAGACTCACAGCCAGGAGTCAATGCTGACTCAGAACAACCAGAGAGGAGAGAGTAGACCTGCCCTTTGGGGTTTTCTGAGGCAGTAAATCCTTATGGGAGCAGAAAAGCCTTCTCATTGTCCATTGGAGTGGCTAGTGATTTTGAACTGCTGACCTCAGAGCATAACTCACTACACCACCAGAACTCCTGCAAGGTGGTAGATATAAATATTTAATACAATTATTTATATACTGGGTCCATAGATTTCTAGTATATATTTATAGTCCATATATCTGTATACCAAAACCCAAACTCAGCGCAATCAAGTTGATTCTAACTCATAACAACCCAGTGGGACAGGGTCGACCTGCTCCCGAGCATAACCCACTTCCTCACCACCAAATAGTATCAAATTCGCTCACCCATGCCCTACGTTTTCACTACCTATCACATAGGCAATTATGATTCCCCCCATAATTAATCCTACACACAAAGCCCCCCAAAACTGCAACATTCGATACTCAAATCTTAGGGTACTTCTCAGGAGCCATAGCTGCTGTATAACCAAACACAACTATCATTCCCCCTAGATAAACTAAAAATTATCAAACCTGAAAAAGAACAACCAAAATGTAATACAATACCACACCTCCCCGCACAATTAACCCTAGACCGTCATTTGGCTTCTTCCTCCCTCATTTCTTCTCGTACTAGCTTTTCTAGAGTGGAAGCAGGGGCGGGGACAGGTTGTTGTCCGGCTACTCCCCACTTGCAGGATTCTTGCCCATGCTGGAGCTTCAGTAACCCTTTGGGTAGACAAACGGGCATGGTTTGAGCAATGATATCTATTGGTTTCTCAGGTTGCATTGCGGGAGCCCACCGCACATTTACCGTCAGAATGGACGTAGACATCCAAGCATACTTTACATCTGCTGCTATAATTATGGCCATTCCTACAGGAGGAAAAGTATTTAGCTGATTAGTCACCCTGATTAGCCACAAGGTAGCTTCAAATGATCCCCTGCTGTAATGTGAGCATTAGGTTTTAGTTTCTGATTTACAGTTGATGGATTAACTGGAATTATTTGGGCTAACTATTCCCTAGATATTGTTCTTCATGACACCTATTTTGTAGCAGCCCATTTCCACTGTGTGTTGTCAATGGGAGTAGTTTTTGCAATTATAGGTGGCTTTGCACACTGATTGCCCCTTTTTACAGGCTATCCCCTAAATTCAACTTGAGCTAAAATTCATTTTGCAATCATATTTTTTTTTCTGGTGCACCGTTCCTGGAAGTACTGCAATACCAGGTCGACGCGTGGAGTGGACGGAGCAAGCTCCTATTCCATCTCCCTGCTCCAAAAATCCATTTAATATATTGTCCTCGGATAGAGGACGTATCAGATATTAAACTGATAAGAACAGATACTACACTTGATCTTAGCCAAAAGGCCAAGAAGCGATGCAATCATATTTTTTAACCTAACATTTTTCCCTCACCATTTTCTTCGTCTTTCAGGTATACCACACTGTTACTCTGACTATCCAGATACCTACATAACCTGAACCACTGTATCCTCAATCAATTCACTTATTTCTTTAACAACAGCAATAATCTGAGATGCATTTACCTCCAAACGTGAAGTTTCAATAGTACAGCTAACGAATACAAATATTGACTGAATTAACGGATGTCTGCCTCTCTACCATACATTCAAAGAACCAACTTACATTAAAGCCTAGGCAAGAAAGGAAGGACTTGAATCCCCTAAATTTAGTTTCAAGTTAGCCCTGTAACCATTATGACTTTCTTTATAGAGGTATTAGTAAAAGTATTACTTAGCTTTGTCAGAGCTAAAATATAGGTTAAAGTCCTATATACCTTCATGGCATATTCTTTTCAATTAGGATCTGAACACACATCTTCCCCAATTATAGAAGAACTTCTCCACTTCTGTGGCCAGGCCCTTATAATTATTTTCTTAATTAGCTCTCTAGTTTTCTACAATATCTTCCTTATACTTACCACTAAGCTACACTAGTATCATAGATGCCCAAGAAGTTGAACCATTTTAACCATTTTACATGCAATTATCCTAATTTTAATTGCCTTACCATCTCTTTGCATTCTCTATATAATAGACGAGATGAACAACCCTGTCCTCACAGTAAAAACCATGGGGCATCAAGGATATTGAAGCTATGATTATACTGACTATATAGACATAAACGTTGATTACTACATAGTCCCTTCTGATGGTCACACCAGGGGAACTTTGACTATTATAGGAGAATAATCAAGTTGTCCTACCTATAGAACTCCCTATCCAAATAATCTCAATAGAAGACATTTTACACTCATGAGCAGTTCCATCCCTAGGCTTAAAACTGACACAATTGCAGAACGACATCTACACAGCCAGGCCTATTCTATGGTCAAAGTTCTGAAATTTGCAGTTCTAACCATAGTATTTTACCCATTGTACTAGAAATGGTTCCCTTAGAACACTGAAAATCTATCAACCTCTATACTTTAAATCATTAAGAAACTAATTTAGTATTAACGTCTTAAGTTAAAAGAATGAGAGATTTCTTCCTCTTCTTAATGATTTGCCAGTAGATATAACACCCTGATTTATCACTATCACATCTATACTTATTACTCTCTATATCATTTTACAAAGTAAATTTTCAAAAAGTATTATGCCTGAAGACCCTAGTCCTAAAATATTAACAATTACTGAGCAATCTAACCATTGAAACAACAAATAAAAGAAAACTATTTGCCTCATTTACCACTCCAACACTAATAGGACTACCTATTCTTCATCTTATTATGGGTTTTTAAAACTCTGTTATTGCTAGTGTCTAATCGTTAATTAATAATGGTTCAATCACCCTACAACAATGAATTACTCAACTAATTTTAAAACAAATCATATCCATTTACAGCTTAAAAGGACAGACACAGTCCCTAATAATTATTCTCTTATTCTATGTATGGGGTCAACAAACCTCTTGGATCTCCTTCCCCATACATTGACCCTCACAACTCAACATTCACTAAATGTAGGTGTGGCTATCCCACTATGAGCAGGAGCTGTAGTCCTAGGGTCCTGTCATGAAACTAAAGCTTCACTAGTCCACGTTTTACCTCAGGGAACACCTATTCCACTATTTCCTATATTAATTACCACCGAAACCATCAGTCATTTTATTCAACCCATAGGTTTAGCTATTCGTCTAACTGCCAACATTACAACTGGTCATCTATTAATTCTTAATTGGTGGGCCACCCTTGTATTAATGTCAATTAGTACTACCACTGCTTTTATTACCTTTATTATTTTGCTTCTTCTTACAATTCTAGAATTTGCTGTTGCATAAATTCAAGCCTATGTATTTAGCCTTCTAGTTAGTCTTTACCTACATGACAACACCTAATGACCCACCAAACTCATGCTTAGCACATAGTTAATCCAAACCCATGACCCCTCATAGGCACTCTTCAGCACATCTTATAACATCAGGTCTCACCATTTCTTTGATGTCTGGGTACTTTAGAGACACATATCCACAGAAACTCATGTATAAGAGAGAGTTTTACATAAAGGTTAAGTGCACATCAAGAAAACATCCCAACCCAGTGCTGCCCAAGCCCACAAGTGCAACATTAACCCATATGTCCAACACCAATCCACAAAGTCCTCCTCCATCTCACAAAACACACACTATGATACTGACTGCCGGAGGAAAGCCGAGTCAGTGAATGTGTAAGCATCTCAGTGCTGGCAGGGGCCTCCACACAGCTGCTCAGTGCCCAGGGCTGCATCAGGGTAGGTCCATGTGGCTTTTCCTCAGGAATGTCTTGCAGGAAGTGAGCCTTGATAGCACAAGCAGGGAACTGGCTAAGGCAGCTGCACCCTTGTCCAACCATCAGAGAGCAGAAGATCCGAGAACTAGAAAGGCAAGGCTCTCCGAACCATTTCTCTTAGTCCTTCAATTAACCCCACGTGTATTTATCGGCCAGGTTGGCACAATAAACTTTATCTCACTCCCTAACAACACTTTTACCTATTGGTTTAACTACTGACTATATACCAATGATGATGAGATGTAGTACAAGAAAGTACATTTCAAGGCCACCATACACCCACCTATTGTTCAAAAAGGCCTGCACTATGGTATAATCCTACTTATTATTTCGGATGTCTTTTTCTTTGCTGGTTTCTTCTGAGCCTTTTATCACTCTAGCCTCTCCTGGGGCAGTGACCAGATTTTAACATTGGTAAAGCGGGACAAAAGCGGGACACCATTGATAAAACTCATATCCTGGCGAAATAGCCACATGGCATCCGAAAACCGTATACCCTAGCTTGTTGTGCATTTTTTCCAAAAATCGGGACTTTTAAAAAATGCTGCAGGACTCAGGAAAATTTGTTAAAAATCAGGACTGTCCTCCCAAAAGCGGGGCAGGCCTACACCAGAAGTAGGTGGATGCTGACCTCCCACAGGTATTACACCTCTGAAGCCGTTAGAAGTTCCTCTTCTCTATACTTCTGTCCTATTGGCTTCTGGAGTTACTATCACCTGAGCTCATCATAGCCTTATAGAAGGAAATTGAAAGCAAATAATTCAAGCTCTATCTATTATCATTATACTAGGCCTTTACTTTATTCCAAGACGCAGAATACTATGAAACATCTTTTACAATCTCTGATGGGTCTACGGCTCTACCTTTTTTTATAGCAACTGGCTTCTGCAGACTTCACATAATCATTGGCTCAAATTCCTTATTGTCTGTCTTTTCCACCAATTATTATTTCATTTCACTTAAAGACATCACTTTGGATTTGAAGCTGCTGCTTGATACTGACATTTCATCACCGCAATATGAGGCTCATATTCTTTTAGTATAATTGATACAGCTGACTTCCAATCACCTAGCTCTAGTCTAAACCTGGAAAAGAATAATCAACCTTATAATCACCCTTTTTATTAACTCTTTTTTAGCTTCCCTCCTTGTCATAATTGCATTTTGGCTTCCTCAATATTTACATAGAAAAAAACTAGCCCTTACGAATGTGGGTTTGATCCTGTTAATTCAGCTCACCTTCCTTTCTCCATAAACATTTTTTGGGGGATCGCCATTACACTTCTTTTATTTGATCTAGAAGTTGCTCTTCTTCCCCCACTTTAAGGTACTCAAACGGACAACCTCAAACTCATGCTAACAATAGCCCTGTATTTAGTTTCCCTTTTAGCCCTTGGGCTTGCTTACTAATGAACTCAAAAAGGATTAGAATGAGGTAAATATGGTAATTAGTTTAAGGAAAACAAATGATTTGTGTTCATTAGATTATGAATAGGTTCATAATTACCATCATGTCTGCCATCTATATTAACATCTTTTTAGCTTTTATTATATCCCTATTAGGTTTATCACTCACATCTTAAATCTACCCTTTTATGCCTTGAAGGCATAATACTATCTCTATTTATTCTTAATTTGATTCTCGTATTAAACTTCCATTTCATTCTCTACACAATCCGCCCCATCATCCTTCTAGTATATGCAGCATGCAAAGCTGCATTAGCTCTATCACTATTGGTTATAATTTCTAATAACTACGGCATAGATGCCACTCAAAACTTAAACCTTCTACAATGTTAAAACTTATTTTCCCTACTTTTATACTAACCCCCTTAACATGGCTATCAACAGATAAAATAATGGATAACATCACACTTTACACTCTTCTCATTAGCTTAGGAAGCCTTTCTTTTCTTAATCAAACTTCTGATACTGGCCTAAATATATCTATCTTATTCTTCTCTGATCCCTTGTCAACTCCCTTTTTAATCCTGACAACAGGACTATTACCACTTATACTTTTAGCCTTCCAATTCCATGTAATAAAAGAACCGTTACTCTGAAAAAAGGTCTATGTCT